ACACTCAATGACCAGCAGTTTGCCTTTCATTGCAAGAACAAAATTCGGTGCTTACACGAGTACACTACCAATGCTACTGAGGGCATGAACTATGCAGCAAAGCACAGTGGCATGTCAGCACAGCCACGAAATGACATGAAGACCTCTGCCTCCAATATGTCAGCACATATGGATATCAAAAGTCGGGACCGGGAGTATACCCAAATGAGAATGACCAACTCTACACCTTTGTATTTTGCAACAGACTCGAGGGTTCAGAATATAGAATGCGTGAAAGCTCTTGTACCAATTGCCAATTCCACCATCATAGAACAAACGGAGGAAGCTATTGACAAGTACACAGTTGTACAACTATCAAGAAAAGCCTTCTTTGTAATTTGGGCAGTCCCCCCTAAAGGTGGTGGCCAATGTCCAGCAGGTTTCAAAGGACGACCAAAGTTTTGGACTGCTCACGGGTTGGAAGTTGAAACATGCACAGGCGACAGATCCAGGGTAGTGCTTATCTCTTCTTGCGGTTTTGGACATCAGTATGGTATTCCCTCTAGGCACTTGTTAGCCGTGGAAAGGAAGTACAACATCAATGATTTTGCTTGTCGCCGGAGGTCAGATTATGCCTTCTATGCATACAAAGAGGGACAAGAGGCCATCACCCAAAGTTTTGTCGAGCTGCAAAAGAGGGAACATTTTGGGATAGTGGTGAAGATGCTATCTTTGTTGGACAATATCTCTATCACAGACCGAACTGCTATTTTTCCCACTGTATTTCCAAAGGCAACATGTTGCAAATCAACAATTGATGAACTTGTGGATGTATATCTAAGTCCTACTCCACGTTGTTGGAACTACACACTGAGTGAATATCCCAATAACAACAAGTTCTACCCCTCTTCATTGAGAACAAATGCATACCACACTGTTGAGACATGTTCACAAGCAGACTATGGCAATAGCGATTTTGGACAGGATGTCAATAGCGACTATGATGAACAGGGAGACGATGCCGCACTTGCCTTCAACATGAACCAGCTTTGCCTTCAACAACCAAAAGAACAATGTCAAAAATCAAGAGCATACAATTTTCAAAAATGTAACGACATTGACCGTAATTGTATGAATCAGAGAGACCTAAATTTTTTTAGAGAACAAATAGAGGCAATTGAAAAGGAGCACTTCCAGAGGAAAGCCATGGCCATGAAAAATAGCCAAAAATGCGCATTCGTCCTTTGAGCAACAAATGGACAACAAGACATGGTATCGTTTTCCCTGAACACAGAAACTTGCAAGAAAAGTTACCAGGATACATACCATCGAAAGAAGAGGAGAAAAAGTGGACAATAGCAACAAATACAAATTTAATCCCTGTATTCACTAATTTTGAATCTTCGATAACTGTCCTTTAAGTGCCTTGCTAAATGTGAAAAGACGGGAACGCCAAATGCCACCAAAACCAGCAGAACCGGCAATGAAGCTTAAACTATCACGACACAGTTTCATTGGGTACTTCTGTGTGGAGTCGAATATGAAGCCATGAGAGCATGCTACTACATGAGTATTCTTCCCATCCTTCACTTTAGGAACAAACAAAACAAGCTCTTGTTGTGCCAAAGACTTCAAGCATTTTGTGACTCCCACCATCCCATCAAAGTGTTCCTTGGACTCCTTCACGGATAATGGGGCCACTCCTTCAACAGAGACCTGCACCCAAGCTGAGAGCCATTTGAATTGAGCGGTTGCATCCAGTTCACTCAAGTTGTGTGATTGTTGATATAATTTCCACGACTACTTGTGGAAGTTCAAGTATTGCAGAGCATTTGCCAGAGAAAAAGCAAGGCAACAATTGTTATCACCTTGAACATAGGGAAGCATTTTCATCTGGTCCCCATTTTTTTATTTGAGAAGACAGTGGTTCGGGGCAACATCTAAGTTGCTATCTCCCAGTGGAACAAAGAATGAGGGTTGATTAATACCCCTAGAAGAACACCTTTCTCCATAAGCAATGCATTTTTCAACGAATCCTTTACCAAGATAATGTTTGACATAGGCAACTGTCACATTTGAAACAAAAATCCTGCTCTTTGTTCGAGATCCTAGCAAAAGTCTTAATGTGGGTTCAGTTTTTTCTGCATTGGGTGGCCCATATCGGATCTTCAAAATTTCGCCAGAACCGCACTTTTGTGGGTTTGGCGCTTGAATGTTATGTTTTGATAAGAATTCTGAAACATTGTGGTCTACTGGGCCATATTGATCCTTCAATGCCTGATTGTACTTGCTTCTAGCCTTTTCAGTTTGATTCTGGTACTGCCTAGCTGATTCTCGACGTCGTTTGGGTTGCAACAATTTCTTGTCAAAATTACCAAGAACTCCATCAAACGTTTCTCTATCCTCTTCAGACTCGTCAACTGCGAGGATAGCTTGCAGCAACTTCTTCATTCTCAGCTGTGTTGCCCAACTTCGCTGACCCTCCTGACTGTCTGGTCTTCTTGTTCTCTTTGGTGAAGATGGCTTCCAATAGTCATAAGTTGACTCTTTGGATTCAGTGGATGGAGAT